TATTATTTGGAAGGTGGATCTTACTTTAAACCCTACGGGAAAAGAATATAGCAGCAAACATTAGTTTCTGTTGATCTCATTTGAGATAAGTATAGAAAATAATTGGCAAGCTTCCCAGCAGGAATAGAAGGAAATCGAAAGAGACCAGAAAAGTGGGATCTTAAACAGCTAGGAACAAGGACTGTTTCTCAACTCTATCAAATAAAAAGGAAAATGAGAAGGACTTTGATGGACAAAGGCCAATGAACATTTCATCCTTCTCACAAGGTTCAAGTCCAGTTTATGGTTGTTTCCTCCATTGATAAAAACCTTTGAATGGCTGGAGATGTCTCAAACCAAGGGCCCAAATCTGGGTGAGATATTCAATAATTCCTTTTAATTTGACAAAATGATTCTGGGGAAAGAGACTAAATGTGCAGCTTTCCCTTTAAAGCCTGATAAGTGTGATACCTTTCTCAATGAACTTCAGTGAACTCAATGAAGAGAAATTGGTGGGGTTGGGATGAGAAGGCAAGAAACATAGTGACTCTGAGAAGCACACCTAGAAAAAAAAGACTGTAGGTGGCCTCAGTGGACGGAGCTGACTGGAATCAAATAGATAAGGCTACTAAGTTTTAAGAGTGATGTGTTACCAAATTAGTATGCGTGTTCAGGAATAAAGATCCGTGACCCTTTGAGACTTATAAATGGGCCTCAGTTATGATGGGCAACAAATGGGCTAATGCCTTTTTCAGACAATAGAGAATAAAGAATCTTCCAGAAGGTAGAACCACAGGTTTGCAGAGAAAAAAGGACAAGGCTGTAGTCCCAGGACAGAAAATCAAGGCCAAAGCAAGGAACATGTCCATCTCTGCTCCTATAGGGAGGGAATGTGTTTATTTTGAGGGGAAGAAAAGCAAGCTGAATATTTGTTGATCAAGACAGATAGCAGTTGTGATTAGTACTGTTCTCCACATGTTTTGAGTTCTTTCTGGACAGCAAATAGGGTTACACATTCAAAGACATTCATTAGAAATCTACACAAAGCTGGGTGTGGTGGTACACATCTATAATAACACCACTTGGGGGGCTGAGGCAGGAGGATTGCCACAAGTTCAAGGCCAGCCTGGGATACATAGTGAGTTCAGGACCAGACTGAACTACAAAGGGAGACCCTGCCTCAAAAAACAAAAAAAACAAAAAAAGAAAGGAAGGAAGAAATCCATACAATATCATAAATATATACATAAAACACAACATCATATGGAAAAAGAACCAAAGCATTTTTATGTTCAAAATACAAACATACACAAAACAAAAACACATATCCTAGGAAGAGGAGTGGAAGAAGTTAAGATTGAACATGTTAAAGAAAAAAATGATTTGCAACACTCATCAAAGAAGGTAATAAAGACTCCATTTAACAGGTGCTTTGGTAATAGGTATAGGGACCGCTGCAGTAGGAGAGAGAGATTTGACCAAATTCTGATGCCAACAATGACAAGTGGACCCTTATAACCACAGAGTGGTTAGGGTGGGGTGGGGGTGGTGTCCATAAATGGAAAGTTACTAAGAGGAAACATGGGAGACAGAGGGATTCTTGCTAGACTGGCTCAGCAGAATTCTTACTGGAGGCAGGCCAGGAGGGTCAGATATCAATTTTCAGATTTTCACTGAACTGACCTTGTAGGACTCTTGCTCAAACTGGATTTTGTAAAGACAGAGAGAGAAGTCCATGTATGAGCCAGTTAAGCAGAAGACTCAGAGCTGAGTGAGTAAGTCCCTGTAGCTCTTGAGGTAAAAATTTAGGTGAATTGGGTGAGATCACTGCAAACAAAGATGGCTACAGAGCTGACCAAAAACTCACCCTAAACTTCATTATACTTTTATTATAATGCATTTCCCTAATAAAAATATTCTCTCAAAGTGGGGACATCACATTTCAAAGGACATTTTGGACCATGTGCAAACTCACACCTGCTCAGCAACTCTACCCTTTTTGAAGACCCCTGCCTCTTTTGAAAAAATTCCATAATAATCGACAACATTCCTCTGGAGCCTCATAGCAGTGGAGTCTTTTGTTAGAGGTGTCTTCGTGTCTTTAGAAGCCCATTCTCTGTCTGTCCAGTAGCCAACTTCTCTGTTTCTTTCCTGGGCTGCCTACATGAAAGCCAACTTTGTTTATTTTCTATAATAAACTTTCCCATTAAAGCTTCTGCCTGTAGAGTCATAATGTGCCTCTGTTTTAATTTCTATTATCACTGAAACAAGGACCCATGCTAGCCAATAATAGCACCAGAGGCTCACAAAAGCAAAAATAAATTAATGAAGGTGCCATTCAACGAATGGAGAAAGTACAGTGGAGAGATTCACATCCTTAATAGATTCTGCAGAGATTTGAAAAGTAATTTAGACACACACACACACACACACACACACACACACACACACACACACACACACACACACACACACACACACTCACACACACGCGCGCGCACACACAATGCAAAGAGCTTCAAAGAGAAGCAAAGGTGAAACAGAGAGTAACTAATTAAAGGTGTGCCCTGGGTCAACTGAGCTAGACATCCTCTCTCTGACTCCATAGAGCAGCGGGTGCAGTGCTGCACTACAGGATGAAGTCCTGATTAGCACTCCCTAACCAGACTGAGAATCTGCCTGAGAAGGAGTCCTAGTTAGGTCTTGAGATGAGCGAACAGATTAGGCCCAAGACAATTCAGAAAATACAAAGTATAAGTGGAGGAAAGGAAGGAAGGGAAAAGAAAGGTAGCCTCACCCATGACTGAAATGAAGCACTTATCCCTAGAGTAAAGCCTCCCTCTGTCCTATTACTTAGCAACTGTGAGAACTTATTTGACTGTTCCTGGCCTTCCTACACTGATAGCCCTTCATCAATCTTGAGTCAAGGAAAGCAGTTAGTTGTGAAACTTTAGCTTCCACTGTTCAGAATGGATGTAGTTATCTATCATCTTGGTTTTGCCTTTATGAAATATAAAGGGACAACTAGGAATCAGTAGTGATTTTAGGGAGCCCCACAGCCTGGAGTGAAGAACCAAGATGAATGAATAGGACATAGAGTTAATTCAGGAAATAAGAACTTTCCGGAAAGGAATGGAGTAAAGGTTGTTGGTACAAGCCCAAGCTGGTGTTGTCTCTGTCTTTTTTATGGCCATAAAGCTTTCTGGGAGAAGGGGTTTATGGCAGTTTTCATTTCTACAAGTTTCTGCTTTTCAGCGGAAGAAAGTTCTGGGAAGGCTTCTTTATACGTCTGTTACATCACAAATGCTGTCAGTGCAAAAACAATTGTGTGCCAAAGAGGCATATTTTTATCTTTTATACGAAAACAATATATAATTTTTATAAGAATTAAAAAAAAAAACCCTACCTCTCCTTTACCTCTCCTGCGCTCTCACAGCAATCCTCAGGCATGCCATAGTATTTTAAAAGCAAAAGCTTTCACACTTTCAAGGAAAATGAAATTTTCACAACAGCCATACCAGTAATTTCCAAACTTGACAGTGCATCAGAATTACCTGGATACTTTTGAAAGGGGTTCTGTGGATTGACTCTAGGGTCTTGTACCTGCCAAGTATACAACTCTGGCACTGAGCTATACCCACAGGGCTCTGGGTGCATTTTTGAAAATACGTACAGATTTTCTAGCTTCTCAGACTTAGTTGACTACAGTCTCAAAAATCTGGCCACTGTATATGCAAACATAAGAAAAACATCGTGATACAACTATGCTCTGGCTTGGCTGGCTCTCAGTCAGATCATGTCCATGCCCGTGCCCTTAGCAATCTCTGTTTTTTTCCTCTTATGACACAACGATGCTGCTAACAGATCTGCTTTCTTTTTGAGTCTCGGGTCAGCCTCCCACTTGGTCTTCAGTCATGGTTAATGTACACTTTGTGGCCGCCTCTAAGAACTGGGTTGAATTTATGCCAGCAAAACCCTCTGACTTCCGTAGTTTGCACCTGATGTCTCCCTAGGCCTGCCCCACAAAGGCAGGATTTACTAGAAGCTGATTCTCAGCAGTCTCAGGGCTAAAGAGATTATAGAGCCAGAAAACTTTACAAAGTCTCTCATGAAATTGGCTGGGACTTTTTATCAGTTCCCTGGAGAATCTCTGAGATTTTTCTCATATTTATTGCTTTCTTTTTGCCATCTTTCAGTCCCTGTAAGAGGGCCCTGCAGTACCTCAGCAAATGCTGTAGCTGAACTTCATCATTTAGATCTCAATTAAGGTCTGCCTGTGGAGACTGACCCTGTGTATATGCTTGAACATTTTTTTTGTTTTTTGTGGTACCGGGGATCAAACTCGGGTCCTTGCACTTGCGAGGCAGGCCACAGAAATGCTGAGCTAAATCCCTGGCCTTAGGCTTGAACATTTAATACTTCTGCTGGGGTATTATTTTCCAACTAGCAGAGTCACTCTCTGATGCACCCCAGTGCTAAAAAGTGTCAGGAGGAGCTGTTTACAATTTGGTCAGTTTGGACTATGTGTCTGGAAGATGGGCTGCACCAAATCTATGAGGGTTTGGGGCTTTTCCATATAGGGGCTTTTCCATATACTGTGTTTTCTGTTTAGGAGGTCACTGGTTGAGAAGGGCTGGTAGACAAAATTCCTTGTCCCCCTTGGATTTGGCCTTCTATATCATAATAGATGTGTTCGGTAAAAAGAGCCAAAAACCAGGACCAGACCAGGACCATAGCAAGGCTTTATTACGGGGACGGTCCGCCGGCCCGTCTCCAAACAGAGAAGAGAAAGCAACATAGCAGCACAGGGAGCTTCTTTTATAGGAGCCGGGTGGGGTTAGCCTGAGCGGTAGTGGTTGAGGACGGTAGTATTAAGAGATTGGAGGAGCCTGTGACATCACTAGGAGGGGCTTGTGACATCACTAGCTGCTTGGAGGTAGCAAGTATCAGGTTACTCTTTTGGCAGGAGAAGAGGCACAATGTGAACAAGAAGCCTGTCCTTTGTTGGGAGAAGCCATATTTTAACATGGAGGCTGCTATCCCATGTGGCAGCCATCTTAAAGCAAGGGAAATCTAACAAGATGGATCCTCTTAGTTTCTCAGAGGGGCATCTGTAAAGCCCTTGTTAGGCCTGATAAGAGGCAGTTCACTTGATTGTCTGGGCCTTTCCCACTTTTCCCTTGGGGCACTAACTCTGGCCTTTTCTCCTCAGGTGGGGTTCAGGGCTCCCTGTCATCTGATCCTGCTTCCCTGTGAGCTTGCCTCTGCAAAGGCAGGTAAATTGGAGTGTAAGGGGGTGGGATCTCTGCCTCTTCTGGAAGTTCTTGCAGAACCAGCTTTTTTGGTCCTTTTTGCTGCCTTTCTTTTGTTGTTGAGCCTTCCAGTAAGGCTGATTTCTCTCTCTATTTTGCCTTAGGTATGGCTCAGCTATGAGAGTCTTGCAATATGCCTTCAAGCAGGGTTGTAATCAGGTGGGTTGAGTCTGGGCTATATTTAAGCAGGAGTCAATGTAGGGAAACTGATCCGGGTGCCCTGGCCATTCTCTGTTCCCAGTTACTATCCTATGCACATGCCCAAACAGGTGCTCCTACCAACTGTCCCCTCTGCTAGCCACCCAGCATCAAAGGAAGGCCAATCTATTTCACAGAATTCTCAACCTATGGGGGATCAACTTTATTCCATGGTCCTCCATATGGCCTCTTCTAAAGTTATTTAACATGCGTTCTAATGGGGTGGGTTTTGATGCTTGTCCTCCCATTACTACCCTGTTGCAGAGAAAATCACTCTCTTAAGCACGTTTACTTCAGGCTAGTTAGACCATGCCCCTCACAGTTTTTAGGTGCCATTTAGCTTAGGTGTCATATAAACCTGACTTGGACTCCGCAACGTACCTCTGTACAATGTACCATTTGTACAATGGTCGTGGGGTACTTCCATAAGCTTTATGCAGATTGCCACTAGTCCCAATCACCCCTACACTTGCCTGGAGCATACAGTCTGTGCTAAGAGACTTGTGGCTCTATACACTACACGTCAGTATGTACTGAACAAATGGTTCCCCTATCCTACCTTTCCAACCTAGGTGTACATTTCATCCAATTCACCCTGAGACAACTCTGCACACCCCTTTGCCAGCCACTCTTGCTGTGGGCCTCTCCTGATCCTCTTGTAGATTTTGTCTGACTCCCCCTGAGTCTGACTACTTGGTACATCCCGGTGATCAGTCTCCCTTTTTGCCCTAATGGGACGGCTTACCCTTGGGGCCCAAAATCTTACCGTGGCCCTGTAGCATGTTGTTCCAGAATTGTCCCAAATCCCTTCAGATTCTGTTGCACTAGCAGGGGGAAGGTCACCTGGCTATGGGAGGGCCGATTCCTCTCCAAGCTCAAGTTTCACCTGGTAGCACTATAAGTCTTAGAACTCCTGCAGCTTGGAGCCCTTCTGGGCCTGCAGGCAAAGGAGAAAGCAAATCTGTCATCTCTGGTCCTTTCATGGTCATCAGAAATATTGCAGTATCTAAGAGACAGGAGAGGCCACTGGGAAAATGGAGGATTTTATTTCAGGACTGACTTCAGCCAGACTTGTGCCAAAAGGGCTGAGCCCAGAACAAAGGAGAAGCTTCAGTTTTTATACATTTGTTGAAGGGGTTGGCACAACAGGACAAAGACAATTATTTATTTAGTGATAGCTTAACAGCTTAACCATGAAAGAATACAAGCATAAGGAATTCCAGGAGGTCATAGACCTTATTTACAGAAACACGGACCCAAGGGAGGAAAATCATTAAGTCTGTTTATATATTTTCATATGTTCAGTTTACATACAAAAAGTTTGTTTTCACATACATAAAAATCCAAATATTATAAATGACAAACCCTTCCCCACCTCTCAAATATACAAAGAGCTTCACAAATATACAATTTAAATTGGTTTAATCTTGAAATGTAATCCAATGAGACTGAAAACTAAACATTTCAAGTGTTGTACCAAATAGTAAAATACTCGAAGGCCTTCAGGATCCCTAAAATTTAAATAGGTAAAAGTTAGATTTTTGGTCCTAATGAAATATAATTTTATAAATTCCAACAATAAAATTGAAACCCTGTAAACAATTAACTTCATGGAATTTAGGAGAAAGGATTGCTACCGAACTAAACCAGCTGAATGATTTAACACCTCTAACTGTTCTGTAAGGAAAGGGGTTTATCATCGGTATTTATTTTCATATTTAATGTGTTTGTCTCCTTATAGAAAGTAAGCTATGCATCACAAAAATGTAGAATGAAAAAAATAAAGTACTCATGATAATTCTGTAATTCTACCACCCTAAGTACTAACAAAAAACATTTTGGTGCTCTTTTTTTCCCTGCATGACGAAAATCATTCTCTATGGCATTATTTTTATCATAGCATTAAAAAAAAACACATCACTGATAATTTTAATTTAACCAGTCTATCCCTGTTACACGTATGGATTATTTGCAGTTATGAATAATGCTTCAGTGATCATCTTCATGCATAATAAGGCTTTGCTAATATTTGAGGATATATGCTTGAAATAGATGCTTGCATGAGATTACTACAGCAAAGATGAATGGAAAATGTTAAAGGTTTCAGATGCATGTTCCCAATTGCTTTTCAAAAAAGCAGTATGACCAATGAATGCCATATATACTCAGCAACACTAAGAAAACTAATAGTTTAAAAGCAAATGGTTGCTCTTTGAGAAGACAGCCTTTTGTGTCCTTAGATATTTTACATTCATTCTTTTGTCTTTTCCCCTACTAAGCACTTACATAAAACATCTATCATGTAGAAGGTACCATGATAATTCTGAAGACACACAAAACTTCTCATGAAGCTCACCTTTGAAACTAGTGAATCAAGCCAGGCATGGTACTGCTGGTCTGTAATCCCAGCACTCTGTCAGGCCAAGGCAGGAAGGGGTTGTAAGTGCAGGCCCAGTCTGGGCAACTTAGCAAAACCGTGTCTCAAAATTTTTTAAATTTAAAAAGGGCTGAGGATGTAGCTTGGTGCAAAGGTCACAGGTTCAATCCCTCGTAAGGGGGCCAGGGGACATTTTTGAAGGAAAGAGGAAGAAAGGGCTTGGATGAATGGCGACGCTATGCACTTAAGTAGCTCAAAGGAGACACAGAACAAGGGAGACACAACTAAAATAATACTGTACTGGATTTTTGCCACTTTTTCAAGTATTAAAACACAGAAAAGAGAAGAGCAATATGATATGGAGCTGATAAGGCTGGTATAAGTCAATAAGAATTTTCTTTAAATTTTGTGACACTATCCAGACTTCTATACAACATAGCTAATGAAGACTGAGCATTATTATGGATAATGTGTGATTATAGATAATTATAGAATAGATCATGATGGGCATAATTTTGGATGAAGATGCTTCTTTGGTAGTCAGTAAAAGATCCTGCTAGCTTCTCTAATAGACAAGACAATGAGTCTTTAAGGACATAAAAATCAGAATCAGATCTGCCATGGACACCATTACTCACAAACTAATTATAGTTCTAGGCTAATTCTCTAATAAATTATGTCAACTTAGCCAAATGTTTCAACATACTTTGACTGATTGACATTCATAAGGGAACCTATCTTTGATGTACTAAAAGAAATATATTCATCTCCAATTACAATTTCTAGCTCCTGCCAGCCACCTCTGTCCGGGGGTGGCCACCGAGTGCCTTCTTCTTTTGAAATCTCACTGTCATCAGTTATTCTCTTCAGCTGTTCAATTACACTCTTGTGGACATATGCCTCTTTTCTGATCATGACATTATCTTCATAATCGCTATTGTTGACATATCTAAGCTTCCATCCATTCGAAACTTGAACTCTAGAAACTCATGTCCAAACCTTCCCTTGTGCCCTACGTAGTAGTGTAGGCAGAAATCATTAGCCATAGACATTTCTGTTCCCTGGAAATGCACTAAGAGCCCAGCCAATATGCTACCCGGTGCCTGGAAGTGACCAGTGTTGCCCATTTTTGAGGCCTGCTGAACAAGAAGGTTTAAGGCTCTTGCTATGTCATTGGTGATACGCTCAAGTATAGCTTGTAACCTTATGGGCAGTGAGCATGTAAACTGGGGTTCAATATCACCACATACCATCTTCTGCCAAGGTGACCTGGCCACCTATTGAATAATCCTTTCTGGGTGTTATTCATCATCCTTCCAATCCCCTACTTTTACTGCTCTTCTGACAGTTTCTCCATAAACAAGGTATCTCAAGGGATTGGTCCTTATTTGAAGAGGATTAGAAAGATGGCCTAATTGTTCCTAGTATGCGTGCCCATGACCATTTATTTGGCAGTCACTGATAGGCCCATAATCCACAGATCCATTAGAGGCTGGGGGGTGACTTCCAGTCATTTGGAGCCTCTAATTGGTACCAAAAGTGGTTTAAAGAGGGAAAATGAGAAAATGGATTAGAGAGTGTTGGATATGTCCAATTTTGTTTTCCCCATCATAAGGTTTTTCCCAGAGTTTTAATGTAATACCGTTGCCCTACATAAATCAGTTCTTCTACTGTTGTCAGTGGAAGCTTTTCCCCAGTGAGCAGTGCAGAACCTTCCTATGATGGAAGTCTTAAATACCAAATGCTCAGCATTTGAGTGAGGTGAGTTGACAGTAGGGTAAAGTTGTCCCCGGGCAACAGTTCTCTTGCTTCCCATGGGCCATTGGTCTCCCATGTTAGTTCACTTCCAGATATAGTACAAGGTGACATTCAGATTTTAGGCTATGTTTTTAGCCATCTTGGTGAACAAGTTTCTGGCTAAGGCTAAGTGCTCTGGGAGATGTTTATAGAGTGAGTCAAAGACCCAGAACAACTGAGCCAAGTGGATTTGAGTCTTCTTGACAATAAATATATGAGGAGGCTGATGTCCCAAACCCAAGTATCAACATCATAGTGTAGCCCATGGCTCATTCAGGCAAATCTGTTTGTAGCTTGGTAAAATTGATTGGATTATAGGCCCCGACTTGACAATCTGGCCTGAAGGATCCCCTTGCAAAACAGGCCGCTTCTTGCCCCAAGGTTAGGGTGCCTGAGATAAAAATTTTCAGGTTCCAACCAACAGCCCAGGTTATGCAGTTTAGGCAAAAGCAATCCTGCCATAATTTAGGTGGAAATTGATAACAGCTGGTCCTTCTTCACAATCCACATAATATAGGATAATCTTTGTAATATTTTTCCATGACAATTTCATATATGAGGTTACTCTTGTTGCTCTTGGTTCAAATATGTTGCTTGATGAGCATCAAAGTCTAGAGAGGTGGCCCCTTTATGATTTGATGATACCTTAGTTTTGTTTAAAAGGCTACCATCAGCTATCTCCTTTTCCCCAGCATAGACTTTAAACCAGGTTTCCTAAGGGGGAACTTTGGGGTCATTAACAGACATAAGGCTGACTAGTTCCTGGGTCACAGACTGACTAGGTTGT